CATTTATATTTGCATTAGGAAAATTTACTGCAATATATTCCGTACAAGGACTAACACTAACATCATTATATGTAGGTATATTCTTTAAACTCACCCATTCAAAAATCTCTCTCTTTGAAGTGGCCACTCCATTCATCCAGATATTTTATACAAGTTGAATAAAATTCCACTACAATATCTTTAAAATTACGCACATTTTCACCTTCTGATAAAAAAATAAAAAACAACCTCAGGAACAAACATTTTGCTTATTATTTTTAATAGTTTTCACAGAATACAATTTGTTTACAATTTTCACTAAAAGGTTGCTGCAACTAAATCAGTATTGTTTAGCATATTTGTTTGGCTCTCTGAGGCGTCAATTTGGGAATTGTATAAATCCCACACCAATACAATTCCAAAGAGCGTTTCAGAAACTATTTACTACAGATTATTTCGATACAAGTACAAGAACCAACTGTGAAACACTATTTTATTTGAAATGTTCTACTGTTCTATTTGCATATGTTCTACCTAAATTAGAGTTTGCGTCATTAGTATGGTATCCCATATACATGTGTCAGCACATGCTTCTTGACAAAGTATACAGGAAATTTTTGAAGTTTCTTTCATTCAAAATTAGTGGTAATTATCCGGCCAGAGGTGTTGAGATGGAAAGTCTTCTCCAACGACACAAGGTGTCCTCTTTGTCGATTCGAAGGGATCTACATGCGGCTAACTTCTTGTGTAAGCTTATTCATAACAAAATTGATTGTCCTGATTTATTATCACAGGTTAGATTTAATGTTCCTCGGCCAGCATCGAGATATATCAACACCTTTCACATCTCTGCTGCTCGAACTAATCTCCTTCGTCGTTCGCCAATTACCACGATGTGTCGATGTGCTGACCGATATGTGGCTGATATTTTTTATTTAAATTAGTTATACTCGGAATTATGTTTATATTATTAAGACCCACCACTGACCCGGAAATGACCGGCATTCAGGCAAGACTTCTATCATTACGGGTACTAAGACCAAGTAATGATATGCATTGATTAGATTAAGAAATTAAATTATTAAGACCCACCACTGACCCGGAAATGACCGGCATTCAGGCAAGACTTCTATCATTACGGGTACTAAGACCAAGTAATGATATGAATTGATTAGATTATTATTATTATTATAATTTTTTTTTTATTAATATTATTATTATTATTATAAAATTAAATTAATATTATTATTATAATTTTTTTTTATTAATATTATTATTCTGGTATTGATTATAATATGTACATTAGGGTGATTCAAAACAAAAAAATAATTTTTTTTTTTCGTGCAAAGAGGTTCAAAAGTTTCTTTTCAACGTAAAAAAATACCATTTAAAATTTGAGCTCTTAATATTAATATTAAGACCGTCCGCATCGCGTTTTTCTATTTCCCATAAGAATAACATGGGAAAATTTTTGTTTGCACCTTCTGATTTTTATTGCTAGCCCGTCGTGTGTCGTGAAACAAATTCAATCACATATTTTTATAGAGAATTGAACGCTCTACAAAAAGTGTCTCCTATGATTTTGCGAGAAACCTGATAGTTGAAGAGTTATTTTAGGCTAAAGTTAAATTTATCGCAAATTTTGACGTTTTTGATGCATTGCAATAAATTTGATGGTCTTATTGGAATAAATCACCACAAAAATTTATACACATTTTAAATTTAGTTTTTTAAACAGTAATTGTTTATAATTTTATGCTATAATAAGGCCAGTAACACTCTTTCCGAACATTTTCAGCATCAGTGGGTTAAAAAATCATAGTTTATTTAACCTAAAGACAAATATTTTTCTTCAGTAATTTAAAATACTTACGAAGGAATAAATCAAATGACGATTGGTATTGTATGAATAAAAAATTTATTTACTTTACTTTTAAATCAGGCTTTTAAATCGTTTGAAAATTACTTAGCAATCCAATGTAATTTAAATTTTTGTTATTATTGAAGATTTTTTTTTAAACAATCTGGATAACGTTGCCGATGTTCTCGAACTACTTGTAATAAATACTGTAGTTGGTCTTCATCCTTAGTGAGATAATTGTTATATTCTCCAATTAACGCAATTCCTCTTTCAGCTACGTCATTCGTTACTTTTAACGTTTTAAAAAATTCAGTACATTCGATATAACTATCGTCATCAGAAATAAATTTTTGTGGTGATTTATTCCAATAAGACCATCAAATTTATTGTAATGCATCAAAAACGTCAAAATTTGCGATAAATTTAACTTTAGCCTAAAATAACTCTTCAACTATCAGGTTTCTCGCAAAATCATAGGAGACACTTTTTGTAGAGCGTTCAATTCTCTATAAAAATATGTGATTGAATTTGTTTCACGACACACGACGGGCTAGCAATAAAAATCAGAAGGTGCAAACAAAACTTTTCCCATGTTATTCTTATGGGAAATAGAAAAACGCGATGCGGACGGTCTTAATATTAATATTAAGAGCTCAAATTTTAACTGGTATTTTTTTACGTTGAAAAGAAACTTTTGAACCTCTTTGCACGAAAAACAAAAATTATTTTTTTTTTTCAATCACCCTAATGTACATATTTATTTAGATTATTAGGGAAACCTGTTGGACAATAAAACTATTATTATTAAAACTATTATTAAATGAAAAATTTGCTAAGGTGTTCTTTTAAACCAATTTCCACAACACATCTTTCCTGTATTCTGGCCTCTTCAACAATCATTAAGCGATATGAATTACCGGAAACTCACCTTGAAAGAACACAACTGTTTACGGTATATTTGTGGATACTCATTATACGAAAATTCTTACACCACCACTTCTGCGAAGTTTATTGTGAACTTTGCACATCTTACGAAGTGGTACATCCTGTTTTAATTGTGTGACATTTTAAAGTCTTCAATGAAGATGCGATTTTTGGCGATGATGCCACCTGAACATTTTGCAGTTTATACTACGGTAACGGGTAATAAAGTAGCCCAAGAGCTATAAGGTTATATGACCATCATAAAAGTAGTTAACCGCAAATAAATACCCTCTTTGTGTGGTTCGCACTAAGCTTACCGGTTGGCAATAAATCGTCTTCTAAACATTTCTTGCTTTGATTTAGATATTTGGTGAAAGCCGCCCCTGAACGAAATGACAACAGTCGGTCGAACTGCAGTGGACACGTTATTTACGACCCTAAAACCTTTTCTATTGTAAACAACTTAACTTCGACACAATGGGATAATTTTAAGATGGCCATATAACCTTATAGCTTTTGGTTTACTATACACTTTGTGAATTTTTCCCAGTTTATGCACTGTAGTCGTTAACTGGTTTGCGGCTAAAAAACGAACCATAAAAAATACCATTACACCACCCCTGCAAAGACTTTCTTTTTGATTACCTCTTTTCACTTTTTATTAGAGTTAGAATTTTTTACACACTAAAATTTAACCTGTAGTTTGTTGACCTCTTTAGCATGTAATTTTCTGGTATTTTTTACATGTATCGTAAGTATATATTACTTTGTTAAAATAAATTTTACGTTTGTTTTTAACCTCATAACCCAAATGAGAAAGAAACTATGTTCTTCAAGGTCGGAGCACCTTTAGTGACGCTAGTGACCTCTTTATGTCGTTCCGTAAGCTCCCCATGTATTTCTTATGGGAACAGCTGACACTTTCATAGCCCTGCCATTGGTCAGCGTTACGTACAACTTAACCGCGGGAAAAAATCACTTTAAATTGAACTTTTTTTTTGAGTTATTGAAAAGTAAAAAAAAATTGACCATATCTTCGCATTTTGTAGACGATATTCTTTCGTGTAGTGCATTAAAAAAATCGTGGAATACCCTATTGTTCCGGCTCTAGGATCACCTCCAAGAATTTTAGAAGCGGCCTTTCTTATTTTCAATTGGGGTGTCGATATAACCCTCACATACAGTACTGGACCGCCAACCACCATGACGTTTTATTGTCATAAGGTCGGCTCCCGTATCTGCTAAAAGTAAAGTGGACGATCTACGGAAACAATGCCCCGTGTATGCTTGGGGTTCTGGTAAATTGAGAAAAGAGGCAACCTTCTTTGACATTGCATTAAATGTGTTTATACCCACTGGAAGCTTTATACAATTACCAGCTCTGTAATCAACGGAAAACCTTCCATGATCGGCATGATCAGGACGCAAGGCAAGGTATTTTTGGATTATTCCTTCTATTCTTCCGGAAGTAATAAAAAACTCTAGAGATACTTTGGTTTTTGTATCTGGTATGAAGATACGAACAATCTGATTGAACAAAATTTTTTTTCTAAAAACTAACGCATTGTTTCCAACAAATTTGAGCGGTTGTCATAACACTGAAAACATTCTCTTGGTTCTTGATTTTTAATTAAAGGCACACTAAAGTTAAAATTGTTTTTGTTTTTATTTGCTTAACCTTGAGATTTTGTATTGTTATTGTTGACGACTGGAGCTTTTTCCAGCCGTATTTTGTGTTCATAGAACTAAGAATGAAAGTCTTGTGTTGCTACACTTGGTTTATTGTTTCGCTTGCGGTGGTTACATCGCTACTGGTCTTCAAATTAAAAATTAACACAAAGTATAAAAATAAGTGGGGGTTAGGCCGACTTCTCCTGTGATCGCCGCCAATTCTTCAAAAGGAGCGAGCCGCCCCAAAGAGAGCCGCCCCAAAGAGAGCCGCCCCAAAGGGAGCCGCTCCAAAGAGATCCGACTACACGCTCCGCCAGGAAGTCGGCATCTTTGGAGCGTTGAGTTGCGACAAAGGCGGCAAATTGCAACTACTACTTAACAATTAACATAACTCCCCCCGTTGAAAGAACATATCTTTCAAAATGAACATGCCCACATAAGTAAATTGAAATAAACATATAACAAACAGACAAAATAAGAACAAAAAAAAATAAGAAGCAATGTCATGCATGCACCCCAGTGAATGTCTCTAAGTTACTAGTCAATGGGTAAAGTCTTTCACTCATCACTGAACTGGCACAGCACAAAGTTTGGTTACAGGCCTTTTATGCACTCCGCGCACTGTTTTCACCGTTGCTACGCGGCACTGATTGTCGCTTCCCGGGTGCAGTTCCTGTATACGACCAAGAGGCCATTGTTGGGGTGGGATGCCGTCCTCGCAGATTATTACCAGGTCTCCAATTTGTGGCTGTCGCGCTGGAACTCGTTGCCATTTCGCCCTGTGTTGTAACGAGTGGAGATATTCGCGCGACCAACGTCTCCAGAAATCTTGGCGAATTTTCTCCAGAAGTTGGTAGCGAATCAGGCGATTGGTAGGTATGTCGCTACAGTCTTCTTCTGCGGGTGCAGTCAGTGGACCACCAATGAGGAAATGAGCAGGGGTGAGAGCGGAGAGGTCGTTTGGATCATTTGAAAGTGGAGTAATAGGTCGGGAATTTAAGCATGCCTCTATCATAATTAAAATCGTGTTCATTTCTTCGTAATGGAGAAGAACGTTGCCTAGAATGCGCCTTAAATGACCCTTTACAGATTTTATCGCTGCCTCCCATATCCCACCCATGTGTGGAGCGTGCGGAGGAATGAACTGCCAATTAATACCCATATTCGTTAAAGATTTAAGAACTACGTTTTCGAAAGATTTAGTTCGAAATAATTGGAACAATTCTTTTAGATATCGATTCGCCCCAACGAAATTAGTACCATTATCAGAATGGAGCTCATGAGGTTGACCTCTGCGTGAAATAAACCTTTTCAATGCATTTAAAAACGCTAAAGATGAGCACTCGCATACGAGCTCGATGTGCACGGCACGAGTGCTGAAGCAAACAAAAACAGCGACATAACCCTTGATGGTTTTTTGGGTTCTGCCGTGTCCATTTTTTAAAATAAAAGGACCACCATAGTCTACACCTGTAATAAAAAATGGTCGTGAAGGTGTTACACGAGTTTTAGGAAGATCCCCCATTAATTGACTGAATGGTACCGGCTTGCAGCGGTAACATTTTAGACACTTGAATATTGTTCGTCGAATTGTATTTTTGGCTGAAATGGGCCAATATTTGCAGCGTACTGCAGACAAGGTTCCCTGACAACCGATATGAAGGTTATCCTTATGATATTTTTCAATTATTAAACGAGTAACAAAATGGTCTCTCGGCAATAACAACTGATGCTTGCGATCATTACTGATTTTAGCATGATTTAGTCTACCACCAACTCTTAAAAAACCAGAATTATCAATAAACGGATTTAAACCTTTTAATTTACTGTTACTCGTGATTTGATTATGCAACTTAAGTTGATGTATATCATCCTGAAAAGCTTCTTTTTGAACTAATTTTATTATTAAATTATGTGCTTCTATGATTTCTTTGCTTGTTACATGATCAGATTTTTTATTGTCCTTATTTCTCAAATTCTGAATAAATCGCATTATTATGGCAGTAATTCTACACAATTTATCAAAGTCCGAGTAACGTAGTAGAAATTCGGTGGAATTTTTGGTCGCAAGACAACATGTTAACTTTAGTTCCGGCAAATCAACATGTGACGAATCATTTAAATGCTCGTACGGTAAATCAGTCCTAGTTAAAAAGGTCGGTCCATTCCACCAAAGTTGGAAGGACTGCAAATGACGGGGATTATCCCCGCGGGACAAAATGTCCGCAGGATTCTGTTCTGATGAAACGTGATGCCAATTATTTTCAGGTGTTAAGGACTGTATCTCTGATATCCGATGTGATACGAATGGTTTTAATAGTGTAGGCTGCGTTCGAATCCATGCTAACACAATAGTGGAATCAGTCCAGTAATGACACTCCTGGACATCAAGGCTTGCTTAACTTTATGAACTAATCTAGCTAAGAGAACTGCGCCGCACAGTTCAAGTCTGGGAATGGTCTGTGTTTGCAAAGGGGCAACTCGGTTTTTTGAGCATAAAATTCGTGCTTCATAGTTCCCACTGGGATTCTGGGAACGTAAATACACGCAAGCGCCATATGCGTTTTGACTTGAATCGCAAAAACCATGAATTTCTATTTGATGCTTGTTTGTAACTACATGCCGAGGGATTGAAATATTGGTTAATTCCGGAAATGCGTTTAAAAATTCGCACCACAAAGTGTGTAGTTCCGCTGGTAAGCTTTCATCCCAATTAAGTTTGAGTGACCATAGTTTCTGCATTATGATCTTCGCGGTCACTGTGACAGGTGCTACTAAACCTAATGGATCAAAAATTTGAGCAATGGTGCTCAGAACTCCCCGTTTTGTTATTTTATGGCATTTAGGATTTTTTAAACAGATCGAATATTGGATGGTATCATTACAATTGTTCCAAAAAAGTCCTAATGTTTTGGCTGCAGCTTGTTTGTCAAGGTTTATGATTCCCGGTGTTGAGGTGGAGTCTATGCAAGGTAAATGATTTGAATTAATTTTGTGCAGTTCAAACCCGCCCTTGCTTAAAATTCCCTTAATGTCGTTTAGTATTTGAGATGCATGGTTAATATCGTTTGCCCCGTAAATTAAATCATCTACATAGAAGTCCCGTAAAATTATATTTGCCGCTTCAGGAAAGTTTTGTTTTTCGAGATTTGCTAACTCTTGCAAACATCTAGTTGCCAAATATGATGAACTCGCAAATCCGTACGTCACTGTGTTTAATTCAAAAACCTTTACCTCATCAGTGGAGTTAAAACGCCAAAATATTTGTTGGTATTTGCGGTGATCAGGGTGCACCAATATTTGCCTGTACATCTTTTTTACGTCCGCGGTTATTACAACTTTGTGAATTCGGAACCGAATTAGAATGCTAAATAAGTCTTGCTGTAGGTTAGGGCCAACCATAAGATTTTCGTTAATTGATTTATGGTTAGTTGTTTTCAAAGATGCATTAAATACAACTCTTAATTTAGTTGTGAGGGAAGATTCGTTGTAGACGGGATGGTGGCTTACAAAATAACCTGATTCGTCAGGATAATTTATTTGGGTCATGTGCCCTAGATCTAAATAATCAGCCATGAATTTTGAATATTGTTCAAACAAATTATGATCTTTTCGTAGACGTTTCTCTAGATTATAAAATAATTTTAGTGCAATTTCCTTCGAAGAACCCAAATCCGGAGGTTCGTTTATGATGGGCAGTTTCACCTGAAATCTGCCGTATAAATCTCGCGTGAAAGTGTCGATGAATACCTTTTCACAAGGGTCGCGATTATCGCCAGGAAAAACTGGGTCGGATATGTTTGTCACTTCTTTTAATTCCCAGAATTTTTTGAGGTGTACATCAAGATCTGTATTTGAAAGATTGCAAGAAGTTGAAGTGTTTGTGTTGAAATTATTCAATACTCCCGCAATAACCCATCCAAACTGTGTTTTTTGAAGAACCGGCCCGTGTCGGTGAATGCGGATTTGTCCTATGCAAATAATGTTCCAGAATATTTCGTTACCGATAAGAATTTCCACGGGCTGCGATAAGTTGTAAAACGGATCTGCTAATTTTATGTTATCGGGTAAATTTTGTAAAGTGGGGAATGACGAGTTGGGTACGTTTCCCGTTATTTCTGGAACTATCAAAAAATCTAATGTTGCTTTAAATGACGAACATACGGATGCAATTTGAATTGTTGCGGCATGATTAATTACTGAAGAGTTGCATCCGATGCCAATGAGAGGCAATTGGATATTATGAATATTGCGCAAATTTAGCTTTTTCACCGCCCTTTCTGTTATAAAGTTTGAAACTGATCCATTGTCTAATAAGGCTCGAAATTGCTTACCCTGAATTTTGTCGTCCCCAAATGCTAAAAGTTGTGTTGTTGATAAAACAACATTTTTATTTAAGATTTGAGCGCAATTACTCATCGATGACGAGGAGGGTTGTGGCGAATTATTTTGATTAAGATCTACATGCAATAGTGTGTTATGGCGACGGTTACATTTTCTACAATTGCTCGAATTGCAGTTTTCTACCTTATGTCCGCTACGTAAGCAATTAATACAAAGTTTACGTTTTTTGCATTCACTTATTCTCTGTTCAGAGGTTAAGCCTAGAAAGCTTTGACAATTGAAAATATTATGTTGTAATTTACAATAGTTGCACGTAATCTGATTGGTCTGCGACACATTTACAATATGGCTTGCAGATTTATTGTTGAACTGATTATTGTGGAGGTAAGATTTGTGTTTGTTTGAACTATTTGTATTCATTTTATTGCTCATTTGGTTTAGTTCGAAAGATTCAAACATTTGACATCGTTGCGTAAGAAAATCGAGAATATTTTTTGTAGTTGGAATGGTACTATTTAATGTACTTTCCCAAGCGATAGTGGTACTCTCGTCAAATGTACTAGAAATTAAGTAAACAAGCAAATCATCCCATTGCATTGTGGGACGCCCTATAGCATCTAAAGCCTTGATATTAGAATTAACGATCTGTAAGGACGAACGTAAGGATTTTGAGTCTCTTGAATTGATATGTGGTAGTGAAAATAATGCTCTAATATGATGCTGACTAATAATTCGTTTGTTCTCATATCTTTCCGTTAGTAAATCCCATGCTGACAAGTAATTATCTGTGGTTGGTGCTAAGTGACTAATTGTTTTTTGTGCATCTCCTGTCAAACTACCTCGCAAATAATGGAATTTCTGAACTGGATTTAAACTTTGATTATCATGGATAAGTGATTTGTAACAATCCCTGAAACTGATCCATTCCGTGAATGCACCACTGAAAGCCGGTATAGAAATTTCAGGCAATTTGATGGAGATAGAATCGGGTTTGTTTTGATTCGAATTTGCCTGAGCAACTGTGTCTACTTCGATACCTTTTTTTTGAATAAGTTGTTTGGCCTCGCTGATGGCCTTAAAATATTTATTTTCGAACTCGAATGAGTCCTCATCTTTAACATGAGACTCATCGGTTTCTATAATTTCTAAATTGATATTTTCAAATTCTTTTAACAAAGGTTGGATTGCACTTATTCGTTCTTCTATCTCAGCAATTCTGTTCTGATTTTCGGGGTCCGATATAAATTTGCAAAAGTTAGTTAATTTAGTTTTAATCGCAGCTCGTCTTCTAACCAAAAGTTTAATTTCCCCCATTGTAATGAAACACGATATTAATTACAACAGCACATGCAAAGGAGAGTGTGGAAATATGGTAAAGAAGAAAAGTAGTGATCCACAAACCTGTGTCGGTGACGTGCCGATGATGAAGAAGAACTCTTGGATGTAGCGTAGTAATGTAGCGATGTGATGGTTATTAATTTGTTGATTATGAAGATGTTGGGAGAAACTGCGTTGCACTTGCACAAGCACGTTTCCCGAATGTCGAATATTGACACTGCGTTCAATATCCGGCTCGAAGGACCATATGTTGACGACTGGAGCTTTTTCCAGCCGTATTTTGTGTTCATAGAACTAAGAATGAAAGTCTTGTGTTGCTACACTTGGTTTATTGTTTCGCTTGCGGTGGTTACATCGCTACTGGTCTTAAAATTAAAAATTAACACAAAGTATAAAAATAAGTGGGGGTTAGGCCGACTTCTCCTGTGATCGCCGCCAATTCTTCAAAAGGAGCGAGCCGCCCCAAAGAGAGCCGCCCCAAAGAGAGCCGCCCCAAAGAGAGCCGCCCCAAAGAGAGCCGCCCCAAAGGGAGCCGCTCCAAAGAGATCCGACTACACGCTCCGCCAGGAAGTCGGCATCTTTGGAGCGTTGAGTTGCGACAAAGGCGGCAAATTGCAACTACTACTTAACAATTAACAGTTATCGTATTATTATACGAAGGATGCAACGGCAGCTCTTATTTTTAGTTTTATTTCCCTGAAACAGCGGTCTTTAGTTGAACGTGTGACGTCATCTGTTACACGGGCGGCGCGAAGCATAATACGGCGATACAATTCATCTCAAGTTCTCTCTCGGTTAATTATTCATTAAATCAAGATTACCTATTCGTATCTGCATTTACAACTTTATTTACTTTTATTTACTTATACTGTGTATTTTATATATGGTAAGTAAGATTATTTTGTTGAAAATGTGGTAAATGCTTCGACCATATACTAGCTAGACATGGCATGCGGCCAGTTGTAGGGTATGTCCGAGGAGGGTAGAATAAGAACGGAGGGATAGTACGGTCGAAAAATGTGGCACCGACCGTCCGAAATCTAGACACCGTTTACGACGGTGTTTGGAATACGCGCTCAGCTAAACCACGCCCCCACTTTCGAGAGAATCGCTAAACCGTGGCGGACAAAGTTACTCAAGTTTTACATTTATTACTTACTTATGAAAACTAAGTCTGTTTTTCACAGATTGTTTACTTCCATTCCACGACTTACAAAGTTTGCAGTTCACCATGTTGAATTTATTAAAAACAAAACGGCTCAAAGTATAAAGATACACAGCACGTGATGGAACAAAATAACTGAGATGTACGCCCATGGAGTACGATGGGCTTTTCTCGAGCTTGGTAGCCAGCTCGCACATGCGCACAGTCGACAGACTGATCGTAAACGGTGTTTGCGGTAGTTGATTTTGGGCCAAAACCGTGCCATTGAAAGCATACGACATGCTCCCTCCGTTCTTATTCCACCCTCCTCGGGTATGTCGTATGAAGCCAACATAACGGTAGGGGGGTGAGAGGAACTGACTGCCAGGGCGGCTCGTCTATTGGGATCCAAAGGATAAAAATAAAACCGTGAGGTAAATTAATACAAAGTCACGTTGGGGAACTGTATTTTAATATAAATACTAATAGAAATATGTGAAACATAGTTATTATACATAAACAATGGAAGACAACAAACCTAATAACTACAAAATTTTATTAACCGACGAAAAGGAGGAGGTTCTCGATTTGATTTTGATGATTCTTTCTTTGTTGGATAGAGTAGGCCTCGAAGTTGGTCCCATTTAAATTTGAAAAAAAAATTCTACCCCTAAGGGTAAGAAAAAAAAAAATGTCGAACTTTTTTTTAGTTCAGAAGTTTAGTTAATAAGAATAAAAAGGTTTATTTTTCGCTTTTCAAATTGTCGCGCTGTAGGATTATTACTTGAACCACCTCGACTACGCACAGCGCTGAAAAAGATCTCGAGATGATCTTGAGATAGCTTATAACTAAGAATATATTTTAAAAGAGGTATTTCTACTTCAATAAAATCTCTGTACATGTTAATAAGACTGTTTATACATATCAGGAAACCTAAAAAGCCTGTTTTTCTATGTGTCTGTAAAATTGGTACGTCCTTTAATCGAATCCCTATAATATATTCTTTGCAAAAATTTAAGTATTCAAAAACGAAATGGCAATTTTTAGGCGTTAATGGTTTTCGATATTGTGCAGTGGAGGCAAAATTACGTACATTTAATATATCAAATAAATTATTTATAACGCGACAAAAGTTTGCTGTAGCACTTACACCTCTAAAGTCTGGATGCTGTATATCTTCTTCCAAAAAAATGAAAACATCTGCGACACTGTTGCTAAATGTCTTTCATTTTTTCGCGCGTCCAGTCAATGTGACGCTTTCGTATTTTCGTTGCAGCCTGAAGACCCTCCGTTGCTTGTAAATTGACTAATTTCTCGAAATATTCCCATAAAATGACACGTCCATCTTTGTCAATGAGTCGGCCTTGGCTTGCCAAACAATTTCTCAGTAATTTCAACATATGGCAAGCATCTAGGTACAGATAAATTTTCTGTTGCAATAATGGATGCATAAAGAATGTTTGCAAATTACTAGGATTATCCAATTTAGCTCCTAAAATTGTAGCCATATTTAAATTGGTTGCTGTGCCATCGAATGTCAAAGATGAAACTATAACTCCACTTTCAGTCAAAAACTCTAAAGGATTGTTCACCAACTGAGCTTTCTCTGTTGCAGTTAATGAATTGATCAAAAAGTAAGCAAACGGTAATTTCCAGTGGGCATTTAAGGCTACCAACATATACACAAGAGCTTCTTTTGCTTCTGGAAGTGAGTCCGATGCTATATTAGTGCCTAGGTCTACATATCCTGTGAATTTCTGGCCCGTCCATTCTGTTTGTTTTCGGATTGCCATCTCATCAAAAACAAAGTTACATATGAGTTTTTGTTGTTTTTTGTTTTGTTCTGCAACCTGGATTTTTAGAGCATTAATTGCTTCAGAAGTATACCCTGGTTCACCATTTACTGAAGAGTACCACTTGGCAATTGTGCGACGATGTGGCAAGCTGTTATTGAATTTAGTACGCACATACTCATATGCTTTACTTGAATAAAAATTCAAAGTGAGAGCAAACGCACGCAAATCTGATGAATATTTTTGGAGTTTTGGACCTTGCACAAAACGATTTAATATATTTGTTGATGACTCAGGTATTGTGCCCTAAAATTATTAACATTTCAATACATTTTCACAATTATCTCTTATGAATGTAAACACTACCTTAACAGTTAACGACGTGTTTTCACTAATTAACTTCTGGGATTCCAAATGTTTCAATAATGATTTTAAATTTGATACTCTTGCTCTGAGGCGTCTTGTTCGTTGTTGAAATAATCTCAATTTGGCACGTTGAATCGTTATTGTCTTTTTGGCTATTTGCCAATTTCTTTTCGCTTTTCTAGGAGTTCACATTTCATCAGTTGAACAATCACCTATATATCGTGCACGTTTTACCCTAGACAGTAAATGATAATTAGTGACAGTTGCAAGATAGAACAGACAATACATACCTTTTCATTAAAGGTCTACTAGGGACATTAGTTTTTTTAACAGAGTCAAGTGATTCTGTGGTCGAACTTTTTATACTACCCTGTACTGAAGTTATTTTTCGTTTTCCCAACCTACACAAATCATTCGTACAAAATGAATATAAAACATGGCTGCATGTAACTCATGTATGATTTTGAATACCTGAACTTTGGTGGACCCATGGACTGACTCATACTTGCACCGGGTTGTCTAGTGATGACTGCTTCATCCACAGACTCTGTAGCTGTCAAAGTTTCCGAAGACCATGATAGTGGTTGAGCTAGTATTGACAAGTCTGCTTGTTGTGTTGTCAGCTGCTGAGTACTTTGCTCACATTCTTTAATTGTTTTTTGTGACGAACTGCTGGAACTTTATTTATTTGGTAATATTTTGTCACCAGTTCAATTTAATAATACACACTTTGCTTCTGTCGAGTCGCTTTCTGAAAGTCCACTTGTTGAAGGGATCTTCGAGGGCAGGGCATCTTTACTTAGTCTATGAATTCCCCCTGGCTGTATATAAAAACTGGTCGCTGCAAAGTGGTTTGCACACAAGTAAATATTTCTTGTGTGAACGAGCTGCATTCCTATATTCTCAAACCATTTTTTTCTCCGTTCTGGATCACAGGGAAACCTAGTATAATTATTGTTTATTAAATACATCGTCCAACTGGTTTTGGTTATCTAATTAACACATTTTTGTTGTTCTAATTATCTCATTTTGTAGAATCTACACCACTGGCTTCCCAAATAAATACCACGTGGATGACACTGGTAAAACTTACCGATAATAGGAACATGTCGATGCTTTTTCGAAACTTCTTCGACACAAAAAACAAATTCTTCCCATTTCTCTTATTTTTTATCACTTTTATGTAAATAGTTCACTTTGTATCACGTTTTCAACTCGATCACTTCAGCTGTTGTTTTCAAGTGACGACCACCATATTGAAGACGGTACGTCAACAACCAATCAGAGACGCAGTCCCGAAGGGCGATTTTCGCTTGATGTTTACCACCTCGTCTCGCGTCCCCAGTCATGTTGGCTTCACAACAAAGGTGCTCACACCATATCTAGATAATATATGATCGAAGGGTAAATGTAGTGTTGCAGTTGCATTGACTCATCATCAATATGGTTTGTTGCTGTGTTGTGGGATGTTCAAATAATCCAAAAAGAGACAAGAATTTTTCATTCCACGTCTTTCCTGATAAAAATAAATATCCCGAAATTTATAAAACATGGTTAGTCAAAATTAAACGTCAGAATTTTTTGCCAAATAAGTATACCCGCATTTGTTCTTTGCACTTTACGGAAGATGATTACGAAAATTCTTTGAAGAAAAAGTTAATGCCGAACATGA